CCAACCTGTATCGTGATCAATGGAAGCAATTTAGGCCGTGGTCATATTACCTGGGTCATCGGAGTCGTTTGAGGAAATCATATTTAAAAGGGATAGTTGCTTCCCAATACTATCTTGATCCAAAAACTGCGCTGATTCCTTGGGCTGGTTTTGGCCCACGGTGATGTGGCCCATTATTGCATCTTGAATTTCATGCCCATCCTAGTTTGATTTGACTATTCTTGGCCCATCATAGTGGGCTGCCATTGCAGCTAAGTCAGGATCAGGGTCGACCTTCCTTGTTTAGGCTGGGCGTTTGCTTAATTTCCCTTTGATTTGTTTTCTCCATTCCAGGAACCATTCGGGGTATCTATGAATTTTGAAACAAATATCTTTTGTATAACGAGTGCCATTGCAATGAGAGCATCGAAGCTTGTCTTGTTTAGCACTTTCCAAATCCTACAAGTAGTGTGATGGACCTAGGAATGGTTTACTAACCATGGCCACATATGGACCATTATCAGCATCCTTATTACCTAGCATAGTGGTCTTTTGTTGTGCTTCTCATCGAATGGTGTTGAAGCACTCTTCTATTCCAGGGATAGGTTTTAATCGAAGAAGCATGCTCCGTACCATATCAAATGAGTCATTGAGTCCCGCCAGAAAATTGTACACCCTATTTTTTTTGAAGATCTTGCTTCTTACTTTTCAAGTCATCTGCACACGCCATCTTGTTGGGATGTCATTTGTCCATTTCCTGCCACACACTTATTAGTTTTGCAAAATAGATGTTCACTGGACGTCCATTTTGCTTTGTTCTTGTTGCCTAGCATAATAGCTCATAATATTGGGACTCGTCTTCCCATCATAGAACATCTGACTGACGCTCTCTCAAATATCATGTGTTGTTGGTAACTCTATGAATAGCCCTAACATATGTGGTTCCATAGTTTTTAGCAACCATCCTCGGACAATTGCATACTCAGTATGCCATTTCATAAACTAGGTTCTATTTCAACCACTGTCGGAGTCTTCCCATTGAGATAACCTATCTTATTTAATCCTTCCACATGAACTTCCATCATCTTCGACCAAAATTTATAGTTCAAATCGTTGAGTTTGAATTCGAATGGTACGACACTTAGACTTGGAGATTCATTTTTACTAGGAGCCGAAGCCCCCACGAGAATAATTGCTCCTTCTGCAGCCATCACAGTAGCAAAGTGTCTTTTTTTGTGTTTCTGATTTGGGGTCTTTTGCTAGTGAGTCCCTTGTCTCGGGACACAGGAACACACACATATAATAGGTTTAGGATTGGAGAAAGATACCAGGGCTCTGATGCCAAGATAACTTTGATTGATTCTTATTCTCATCTCTCCAATATGGAGGCAATATATATACATCCACACCTTGAGGTACAAGAAATAATAATAAAAGAGTTTATCCTAATCTAGGAAGGAATCCCTTTAATCTAGGAAACAAAATTACATTCTAATGCTGATTAATTTATATGACTCACACATCAGCACATTTGAGTTATTTCTTGAGAGTTGAAGCCACATATGTGTGATCACATGCACCTGACGCAGACCAAATATGCCCTAGGCATGTTAGCACGCACAAAGTTTACAGATGCCAAACCAATTTCTACTCCAATCCTTGCAAGTCACGAGTTGAGTGCTTATGTTGGTGATCCATACAAAAATCCAGAACAGTACAGAAGTTTCGTTGGAGCCCTACAATATTTAACGATTACCAAACCTGATCTCTCCTATACTGTGAATCAGTTGAGCCAATTTATGCTTTCACCTAAGGATACTCATTGGATGGCAGTGAAACGCATCTTGCATTACTTGAAAGCAACTTACAATCATGGTCTTGAATACAAACCCAGAGGAATGCAGTTAAATGCATTCTTCGACGCAGATTATGCAAGAAATCCGGATACCCGTCATTACACTGGAGGTTTCTGTGTTTATTTGGGATAAAACTTAGGGCTGGTTGGGTATTGTTGTGCTTTAAAAAAAATGCTTCTGCTGTGTTGTGAGAAGAAGCGGCTGTGAAATAAAGCAGCAGAGTGTTTGGTAAATTTTTTTGTAAAAGTGCTTTTGGAAAAAAAAAAAAAAAGTAGTATGATAGTGTTTGGTAAACTTTTATGTAAAACAGTTGTGACTGTGAAATAACCAAAAAGGTTATAATACTAGATGTGCTATTAATTTAATTTTCTTAACAAATAAAGGTGAATTACTAAATCTACTGTATTTTTAAAAGAAAAATATTTATAAACTTTATCTTAAATATTAATTAGTATGACAAACTACTTCAATTGAAATATTTTAGACTGAATAGCTAGGATTCATTAGTACAATATTGTTAATGTACTTGAAGGTAGTCTAATTAGATGCATTCGTCAAACTTGCCGCTATTCTATTTCTTAATGCCTCTATCTCATGTGATCCTTCAACTTAATAATTTTGGTATTCTTCATCAACATCATCACTATTATCGTTGCCAATCAAACCCTAAGAACTAAAATTGCCAATGAACACCTATGTACCTTACCCTTATTTGTTAAATGAACACATTTTTGGTGTAAACGGATTTGTTAACTTAAGTGAAACCGTTTGTATCATCACTCATGCAATGGATATAAAAAATTGTCGATAATCACTAACGTCAGATACAATCACTCGCATTCTTTACCCATTTGTTCGTTCATCTTTCTAAATGGACAATGCAAAATCTCACACCAGTTCATCTTTGGTTCGTACATCAAGGTTTTCTAAAATACTACCACAAAGTTACTTATACAATGCAAGAACTGGAGGCTGTGAAAACGGTGTTGGCTTTTTCTTTGCCAAGTAGTTTTCACAGAAGCAATTTTCATCTTAATTTGCATTCGAAGAGTAAAAATATGAAGATTCTGAAGGATAACCAAATTGCTGATTGTTCGAAAATAACATGGGCAGTTATCGATTTTGATGGAGAAGCAAACAAAGAAGAAAACGAATAACATGAAAACTAGCAGAATATGTGTATTCTTTGCCTGCTTACTCATTCATCACCACTGCCATCCTCATCTTGGTTGTCCTCATCGTTCCGCCTTGCTTCTGCGACGATGATTCTTCCAATTTCCTCTTCTTCTTCACTTCTTTTGTTTTTGACATTCCTGCTTTTTTTCCTGCATTCTTTCCTCCACTTCTTCCTGCATTCTTCGTCGCATTCTTTCCTTCATTTTTTCTTGCACCCTTCCCGGGATTCTTCAGCCTTAGGTCTGCACGCATCCAAATCAACCAAATTGAACGAATTTGCTTTCAAAAAAAACCAAAGAAAAATCAATCATATGCTCATTTCAGATCCATAGAAAAAACCAACAAGTTAGGCATTTCATCAAACACCTCACGAGCACAACTTTTGACATATACCAATGAAAATTGAAAAGCGATTGAAGGATCTTATGATAACAAACAGAGCAACACCATCGTTGCCAATCAAACCCTAAGAACTGAAATTGCTTCATGGATCTCATGATAATAACCTTAATTCAAACCCCAAAACTGAAAATTAGAACATAACCCAAAAAAATGAAAATTAGAACATTAATTCAAACACTAAAACTGAAATTACCACAACGATGGAAAGAGAGAGAGAGAGAGAGAGAGAGAGAGAGAGAGAGAGAGAGAGAGCTGGAGAGGGAGAGGGAAAGAGTTATGTTTACCTAATTAATGAGATCAAGCTCATTCGTTGGTTGCCACACAAAACCCTGTTTCAGAAAACCCCAAAAAAATGGGTTCATCATCAAAGAGCAGCCAAACCCTAACCTAAAAATTAAATTAATTAATTATAGCAAAGCAAGTCAAGTACCTGGTACCTGGAAGGCGACGACGGTGTGGCGCTGACACTGATAGAGAGAAAGGAAAAGGAGGAGGAGGAAGAGGTGCAGCGGTAGGAGGGGAGAGGGGCGTGCGGAGTGTTTTGCGAGAGAGAGAGAGTGTAGAGTGTAGGAATTAGGAGAAAGGAGGAGGCAGTATTGGCAAAGTGAAAAAATTCATTAACTTGGTACTATAGCTCCTTGTTTTGGATAATAAGCGGCTTCTTGAAGCTGCAAAATGCAGCTTCCACTATTTGGCTTTTTTTTTTTCATGTGAAACTTTGAAATAAAGCTCTTTTGGGATGTTTACCAAACACCAAAACCCCTACCAGCTTTTTTTCATCCCAGCTTCTTTTTTAATCACCTCAATCCCAAACTGCACCTTAATCTCCTGGAGCTTGAAGAAATAGAAAACTGTCTCTAGGTCAAGTACAGAAGCCGAGTATAGGCAACTGGCCTACACAGCAGCAGAATTGTCTTGGTTAAGGTAGGTGTTCAAAGATCTTCTCTTGCATCTTTTGAGCCCACAAAAATGGTGTGATAATGTTTCCTCGATTGTCTTACCCTCTAATCCAGTTTTCCATTCCCAAATGAAACACTTGGAGGTTGATTATCACTATGTTCGTGAAAAGGTGATTCAACGAGAGCTTCAGGTCAATTTCTTTCGTTCTCAAGATCAGATTGCGGATTTGTTTACAAAGGGTTTGTGTTCATCACGTTTCAAGCTCTTGGTATCCAAGCTTCCAGTTGTTGCACCTCCTGTCAGCTTGCCGGGGGATGTTAGACTGACTCAGGCTTATCCACAATCCAGCTCGTGTTCGAATTCTTCAAAATCATCTGTTAGTCATTCTAGATTGCAATCCTTATCGGAGGATAAGTCCGTTAGGTCTAGGTCTCATTTGAATGTTTAAAGTCTGATTGCTGTTGTAATATTTGAAATTCAAAATGTCAGTGTAAATAGGGTTCTTGATAACCCCTGGTGTAATCTACGATTGAGCAGAAATATATGCAACCCAGCACATTGCGGGTATGCAAAACTGAACTGAAAAACTCGTGTTCTAAGTGTTACAGATAGATCAGAATTGCACGACTTTTAAGTGGCTCGCAACCTGTACGTGCAACAAATTTATAGACGACATAATGGATAAAATTTAAAGTAAAAACATAATGGATAAGTCATTCTGAAAATAGAAAATGTAAAGCTTAGTTGGGAAAAAGCGTGCAGAGGAATGGTATCTACCCACAACTCACAACTACTCATTTGTTTCATATATATACAATGACTCCTTATAAAGATATCGATGGTAAAACCCGAAACACCGCTGGACATAGGGTGGTCTTCTAAAGAATTACTTCACACATTAAGACAGATAGGGAGCGAAAATGAATAAGAACGCCGTGTGCACAACCACGTTTGAGTTCAGAAACAAGCTGCTCGTTGAACCCTTTTCCTATTCCTTTGGTCTAGACGCTGGAGTCGCTTCAGAATGGTTTTCCCCAACAATCAGTTGGGCCTTTGTTTCCTCTTTCTTCTTTGCTTCGACATCTTTGAGGTCCAAGAAGCTCGGCTGATTGGTCGATGACAATAACCGTGCCCACATTCTGTCAGTTATCACAACCTTGTTCTGCCCCTGGGTCACCCGCTGTGTATGAAAGAACAATCAACTTGAGCATACGACTCAATCACAAACAATGACAATTGATGGTAGTACGCGAAAAGAGAAGTTCTCATGCACATCAAATAAATGTAAATTCTATTTTTTGCCTATGTTCTTGTATCACTTGCTTCATATTTCCTGTCGTATTGGCATATTAAATTTTATTGGGGAATGTAACAGCCGAGTTTCCCCACTTCTGAATCATATGCTTCCCTTCTTTTACTAAAACCAAGCGTAACTTACATGGAATGGAATGTAAGCATGCCTTCCGTTAACAGGGCCGACAGTGAATCCCGTGTATCCAGCCATCGCACCATGAACGGCACTTTGAGCAAGGAGGGTGCTATATACATTATCAGATGCATTGCCTGGAATTGCACGGATCATGTAAGTGGGATCTGCGAGAAATGCACGGCTATTGTTAGGTAATATAAGTTGTTCCACCCAGCTGTACGATGAATATCTGTAGAATCAGACAATAAAAACCAATACTCCACAATCCCACGAAAGACCTTCAGTAAGACGAACCTATATATTTGAGATTTATAGTCATCTTTCTCTGTTTTGAGAAGTGATCCTACAAGAACATAATCAAAACCAATATATATGGTAAGAAGTGGCATACGCAGAGTCAAGTCACTCAAAATTGTTACGATAAACAATAGCATATGATGTCGACATCATCAAACAAGTAGGCCAATTGCTTTTCATATGATGTATAAGACCTTGTAATTTTCAAATTTGACAAAGGATGCAAGCAAATCCTCAGAGCACCACCTTCTGGTTATACTAGGACTACATTTCGGCTGACAAAGAAAAAGGGACTGATCGGAAACTGACAATTTATTTGCTTAAGATTAAAAGTGCTTTCTAATGGTGGGCAGTAATATCCAAAGGGAAAAAGGCTACGGACATGCTTACAACAGAAAAAGTGTAAAAAACAGACAACCACACAAACGAGGGAGGAGGAACAACATTTCTGACATCAGGCATAGAAATAATGGTGGCATCTTACCCTAATATTTTGCGATAACCACAGACCAACATCTTGCAGAAGCTTATTTCCGGAAGCATCCTGCTGGTTCATGCTTTCAGGAAGAAGCTCTTGTCCTGCACCTTCGGCTATTACTATAACCATGTGACCATTCTCCTTCAGTCTTCTTTCAATATATTCATAAAGTCCACCTGGTCCTTCCAGATAGAAAGGCGATTCTGGAATCAGACAACAGTCTACGTCTCGGCTAGCAAGAGTAGCATACATTGCTATGAATCCTGTGTGACAAGAGAGATTCAGAATAAGAATTACGTAGCAGTGACTGTTCTACCACACAGTCTCGTCAATGGATGCACATAGTCACTGGCAAAGGAAATTGAAACCCAAATACACATCTAGTCGATATGCAGAGGGCACAGTTAGTACACGTGGTTACAAGTTGTACAGGTTCAGGGAGAATCAAATCAATTGGAGAAAGAAGAGAGTTGATAGTGACATAATATCACCACACTGGAAGCCTATTTTCACATTATCTTCTGTGTTTTACTCAAAAATCAAATAATTTTAAGATTATAGAGAAATACACTTTACCACTAAAGCGGCCCATTAACTTGACGACTCCAATACCATTCTCAATGCTTCCTGCTTCAACATGGGCTGCACTAATGGCTCCCTGAGCCTCCTCAACAGCAGTGTCAAAACCAAAAGATTTGTCTATAACCTAATAAAAGCATGGAATCCAAAATTAAGACTGTTTCCAAGAGTGAATGCTATATTTAGATCAAATACATCAGACAAGTCATGCATGTGACAAGGGAGTACCGGAATGTCATTATCGATGGTTTTTGGAATTCCTGCCACCGCTACTTTGAGGCCACGCCTCCTGATTTCCTGCATAGAATAATGGCAGGTAAATAACTCATATTGCGCTCAACTTACTTATAATTTCATCCCATATTGTTGCCCAACACCCTCAATGTTGTAGAATCTTCCAAACTCCTTGTTCCCGGGTTCCACATCAAACTGAATTACCTCAAAAATCAACGAAGCTCCTCTCTGAGTTCCGTTTCCCCCAAGTATATAAACCTGACGTGCATAAACAGAGGTGAGTCTATGCACAAAAGTTTTTTGGAGAATGCATAGCCAACATAAAATGAAATCTGAAAATCTAGAGTAAGATAAGTAATATCGACCTGATTAATTCCTCTGTCCTGGATGCTGTCCACAATCTTTGAGGTGTCATGCCCGCCTCGTGATGTCCCAAGGATGGTGCCACCACGTTTATGGATGTCATTCACAACCTCTGGCGTTAAGGGGATTGTATTTTTGGCATAAAACCCTCTGTATCCACCCTGCATGGAGAAAATTTACTTAGTTCATGACATTGTTCAACCGTATGATAAAACGAAAACGGAGGTTGAAATTGTCCTTGAATACATGTCAAATATGCCTTACGTCTATTCCGAGAATTCTTTTGACACCATACATGTGGTTCAGCCCGCATACTATTTCTCTAATAGCTGTATTCAGTCCTGGACATAGACCACCACATGTCACGACACATGCATGCACTTCGCTTGACTCAAAATACACCTGAGAAATATCCAATTGCATGTCATTTGTCTGGAGAACATATAATATAAGGACAATAAATAGGGGCAAAAAATTCCGAATGTAAAACCTTCTGACGTGGTCCAGAGCGTCGAAAGTGCGTCCCCCTTGGACTATCCTTGTGGACAACAATCTATACAAAGAAAAACGTCATTTACGTAAAATATATACTAGAAGAATGAATACATTGTTAATAGACCAAGCACTGAATATTACTCACCTTTTGGGCTACGGTATCATCCGCATTGACGAAATACTGCCTGGTCAATAGCAAGATCAATTTTGCGAATTATCAAGATCACAACGAAATGAGTCGTACCAAATGCATTTGCTGTAAATGTGAAGCAAAGTAGCTGAAAGAGTTAAGCTTACTTGACAACCGAATAGGAGGGATTGTCTTGTAATGGATTGGGATACGTCTGCAAATTGCCATAAAACATATGAAACCACGCGTTAGATTTCGTTTCCCCTTGCAGCAAAACAATCAAGATAGGATTATCATATCAAAATTCATGTCAAGTTGCTACACGTCAAAGCACTCGTAGCAAAATACTACTGAATATTCGGGTCCTACAAATTTTAGTAGCTAATGTTAAGCACAATTTTTAGAAATACAAAATTTATAGGGTTTGTTATTCACAGATAATTAAAGATTGGTTTCAAAAATATTTTCATCGAAAGTACTTTCAATCATTTTGAAAGAATTTCCAAACGAGCCCAAGGGTTTTCACTCTTCCACAAGCACTCCAAACACGCTCTAATTGTCATCACTATTTTTCAGTAAATCAAACCTAAAATAATGTTAGTAATAGTAGTTTAACAATATCCTCTTCGCGTTCGAATCTCAGAGTTTGCAATCAATTTATTCTTCACTCTGTTAGCGTAAATATATTGTTGTATAAAAACAACGATATCATCCTAGAACAACTAAAAACAAAACAATCGAGCACCCCATTTCTGTTTACTGAAGCAACAATTAAATCTCAACAAAAAAATTACATGGAAAATCAGATTAGTTAAAACTTTAAACGCAACTTAAACAAGTTCCAGAAAGAACAAAGAAAAAGAAAAGAAATCAAAGCTCTTTGTACCGGATTCAGACATTCAGTGATCCCAAAGCGCCGCGTTTCAGTTACCACTTAATACGATTAAAAAAAAAAAAAAAAAAAAAAAAAAAAACAAAAGCAACCACCACCGCGACACCAAACATACAAAACACCGACCAGAAGAAGAAAAACGAGAAGAAGAAGAAGATCGCATGCTTTTTTAGCAGCTACAATTATTAGATTGTTATTTTCTAAAAAATAAATAAAAATACAATCAAAGTATATATACAAGTAGCATATATAATACTAAAACTGAGTAGTTTTTCTGATCATCCAAACAGAGCATTAAGAAAGAGAAAAGTAAATATAAGTAGCAGGGGAGAGAGGGAGAGAGAGAGAGAGAGAGAGAGAGTTACTTGGAGATCGGGGATGTAATCAACTAAGTGAGGAACATCTTCGAGGACGTAGCCGCAGGGGCCGGTGGCGGTTTTGGGCTCGGAGTTGTCGGAAATTGCCATGCTATCACTGGAACTGCCGTTGGGAATGGAGGCGGGGAAATATGGAGAGTGATCGGGAGTCGCAGGGTAAGAGTTGGTAGGGTCGAAGCAGCGGAACCTGGAACTGGAAATTCCGACACACTTTTTTTCTTCACCAAAACGTAACTAAAATCGCTCCATTATATTAATCAAAAGAAATATATTAATTCAATGCCTAATGAAAAAATGTTAACTTAATTTGGCAACCATCGAAAAGAGAAAAACAATCGGCGCTGAACATGGCCAGAGAAGAAGACGAAAAAAGCTGCGGAATCATTCACTTGATTGGTTTAAAAATTCGATAATGTTATTCTTACTATAAATTTATATAGTATTTATTTACCATCTTAAATGATAAATAAGTTGGACAAATTACATCATTTAATTTCAATCTTTTTATTAATTAAAACGCTTAAATAATCTTAGGTGGCAGAAGAAGACTTCTCGTGTACCACAATTATCATTTAATTAACAATCCTTTTATTAATTATTGATCAATATTTTGAAATTAAATGCTAATTAATTTAGATGATGTGGCTGTTCATATCAGATATTACCTAAAATGGTATATAATTATGGTACAAAAATATAGTAAGAATAACATAATTTTTAAAAATCAGTAAAAACATAAAAAAATAGCTGCCGTGTAAAAATCATACATGGGTGTGATTGCTTGTCACTTAAAATTAACAATGGGCGCACTTTCTGAGTTTCTTTATACAATGGGCTTTGGTCGACTTTGGTCGACTTTGGATGTCGGCATAGAAAAACAAGCAGAGAAAAACAAAAATGTTCCAATCGAATTAACCATACAAAAGTTTCTTGGGTATTGTCTTCTTTTTCGTTCAATATCCTATTTTTCTTACACCTACACAAACAATCATGCACATAAATATTTTGAGCAGATTCTATTATCGGACAAAAAGATATTTGCACTTCTGTTACAATTTCTTTACGGTCGTAGAAAGTGCATAGGCTTAATAATGAGGGTTAGAGTTCCTTTGTGAAATACTTTTGTACGAAACACTTTTTTGCTCATAAGCTTATGCTTGGATTGTAGACATGTAGAATTTTCTTGTTAAAAATAAAATAGCTTTTTTTCTTTCATAGAAATGATAATCCATTATCATAAACAAGAGTACATAAAAGGGTCTGATTACACAGGGAGACAGGTGGACGATGTGCGGATTCTGTTTAGGTAAGCGGCAGTGAGACGAAAGGGGAGTAAGCAAGCTTCAAGTTAAGCACATATAAAATATATCTACCAACCAAGCAACAACATGAAGGCCCCAAACAGAAGAACAAACTCTAGGAACCCTACTATTCCTAGATCGCAAGAAACTGATGAAACTGAGGTTCCAACATAAAACCAATTGACAATATAGAGAGTAGCCCAAGATCATATAAGCACATAACAAACATTGTCCCTCACCAAATGGGACAACTCTCAACAGAAACGATGCCGCCATAAGCAATCAAGAGAGACGTAAAGAACAAGTCTCGACAAGAGATCTGTAGAGGATGGGGTTATAGCTTTGTACTCGAGCCAACCCGCGTCATTCACAACAGATTAGAGAAATGGCCGAAAGTGACCTTTGATCCACTTGACAGACCACTGTAGACTCGAAGTCTACAAATGTGGTGGTAAGGGTGGGGTTGAGCAGTTGCTGCAATGAAGCATAAATTGAAAATATGGGGCATGAGATTTGAGAGATGAAAGAAGGGAAAGAGGTTTTTTTTTTTTTTTTTGTTGGGGGGTGGGGGTGGGGGTGGGGGTTGGGGGGTTATGGGAAGGGCTGAGTGAAAGTGTGTGGCACATCATCCAAATATGAGATGCTCGCTCATAACAATTTAGATGAGCTAAGAAATTGTTAATCAAAGGGGTAACCGCTGACCCCAACAATTGTTAGGCCGACGGCAAGGGGAGCTTTGCATGACATTGAGGTTACTGAAAATGCACCAATAACATGCCTTCTTGGTGATAATCGTTATGATGTGTCTGTTAATTTTTATATTTTGATATTTTAAATGTATGATTTTAGAGATTAATTTAATGTTATGCAATAAAAAGTGTTACATATATTTTTGTATTAGTGGCATAAGATGTTATGGTGTCGCTTAATGCGTTCCACTGAAGCATGTCTCCTTCGTTCTTAGTAACTTGTATTTAGATAGATTATCTATGTAGTAGGTTCTACAATTTTACTAGGATTTTTCTTAAAACTGTTTTATTCTAAACCGTGCCCACTCATATCTAAACAGCGTATAAATTGAGATTCAAGCACTGATATAAAGCGCTTAAAAATATATTGTAACATAAGGTGGTGAAGTTGACACTTGTTCCCTAATACATAATTTATGTTATGGTAATCAAGTTTAGAGATTTAATTAAAAGGAAACCTTATGAAAAAGACTTGAAAATTTTGAGTTTTAACGATAATGATAAAATAAAGGGTAAATTGAATAGTACCAGGATTGACATTTTAATGTAAAAATGTGATTTTTCGTTAAAATAAACAGTATTGGGAGCTTTTCGTTTATGATCCCTTAATTAAAAAGCTGTTGTAAGATGAAGTTGGAAAGCTTAAATAGTTGTATAATGACATAATATTATATTCTCTACCATCATTACATGTGGTTGCAGTTCATTTGTCTAATAATCATTTTCGAACAACAAGTAATATACAATTTATACTGTTGGAGTTTTGACGCTTCAAAGTGAAATATCTTGGAGCCCCTTGATGGTCTTTCGCTTTCAGCTTTTAGTATTTAGAATTCATTTTTCTGTAAACTAACACTTATAATTTTATTTGGTAACTATTTTTAATTTTAGATTTTTTTTTTTTAAATTGAAAGTAGACATGAAAGAAGTTTTCAATCAATATAAAAAAAATTAAGCAGTTGTTAAATGACTCTCTAATCTAGATGAGTTCACTACAATAATTATATGTATTTAATACAATTATTATTTGACGGTCATATTGTAGACATATAAATTTCGTTGCATACAAATGATGTATTACAAAGCTCCACGTGACATATAACTCATTACAAATGGACAAGTCATCAATGACATCTGGTACAAATCAAGCAAAGGAAAATACCTTTCCTTCCCAAAACTCGGCAAAAGGGGGAAGAAATCCCTTAAAATTGGCAAGGGGTCCAAAGTACTCCAAAAACTGGAAAGAAAGCTAAAGCATCTTCATAAAATAAGCAAGAATTGAAGATTGCTCACGAAATAAGCAAGAAAGCCCTATAATTCAGCCAATATGAGGAAAAGTGGCTCAAACAAGACACAAAACATGTCTAAATTCTCTCACGGACGAATCAAGACACAAATCAAAGCCAAATCCACCCAAAGGCATGGCTTTGGAAGTCTATAAATACAAAGTCTCAAGACAAGTATAGGGGTTGAGATTTCTACATTCAGAAGAACATTTGCAGAAATCTTTGAAGAGTAATACACTGCAAAAACTCTTTTTGAAGAACGCACAACCAAAGTCGAAGCTTTCTTTCGACCAAAGCTGAAGCGTTCCCTTGAAGAATCAACAAGCACATGTGCCGATTCCTTCAAGACTTTGTTGCAAGCTCAAAACTTGTAACGACGTTCGATTCAAGATCAAGTCGCCAAGACCCTTGAATCAAAGAAATCCTACATTAACACTACCTTTGCCGCAACCCTAAACCTAAGGTGAAGACTATCCACGCATCATTTCAAGCTCAAAACATGAAGCAATCATTTAATCGTTCGTTCGAGATCAAGTCATGACGACCGTTGGATCAACAACCTATGCATGTACATCAAATTTGAAGACCGAATCAGAGGAAAATTATAAACAGAGATTGTAATCCTACAAATTCATTAATACAGATCTACTTTGTACATGTGTTCTCATTTTATTCACTACAAAATTTTCTTGTTTACAAATTTGGCACGCCCGATGGGATATCTCTGCCTTTCATCTCTATCTTTAAATCCACAAAACGCACAAATGCAATCAAGAAAGGATCAAGCTGTTCCCGCAACTAACGCAAAGAACAAGAACATCCTTGCCTCAAGCGGTGGCACTTTGGGCATCACAACTCGAAGCAAGGTAAGAGCTCCTTCTGCCGTACCCTCCACCCCTACATCAAACTTGCCGAATGAGCAAGAGCACCCAAGACACGAGCCTGTGATCACCTTGGCCTCGTTAAGGGCGCTAAGGGAGGAAAACCCAATGAGGTATTCCGAGTCGTTGACTTCCAATGTCGACTCAAGCAGCAGTTCGTATCCCGTACCCATGCAAGTAATGACTATTGGTGCGACTTCAATCGAGGAGCAGTTGACACAGATGAATGAAGCAATTGCAAGGCTGACAAGGACCGTAGAAGAGAATGACCTGTAAATTGCCGCATTTGTCAACCGTCTGGAGGCACAACATAATGAGAAAGTTGACCACGACCCGAAGGTTGACCCACAAAAGAAGAAAACCGACGAGGAAGAGGAGCCTCTGATGGAAAAGGCCTAGGAAAAGCTAGAGATGGACCGAGCTGCGATGCTTATGGGATCTCCATCTCTCTATCCAACAGCTGCAAGAGATGATCACAAACACAATCAAGGTGCATTATGAAGGAAGTTCACATGACCCTGTGCAGTATTCAGAGCCATACTCCAAAAAGATTGACGCCTTGAGGATGCCAAAGGGTTATCAGTGGCCTAATTTCATGCAATTCGATGGAAAAGGCAATCTCAAACAACATATTGCCTATTTCATCGAAACCTGCAACAAGGCTGGGACGAAGCGAGACTACCTCGTCAAGTAATTCGTGTGCTCGCTGAAAGGTAACGCCTTTGATTGGTATACTGACCTTGAGCCCGAGTCCATCAATAGTTGGGATCAGCTTGAAAGGGAATTCCTCAACCGCTTTTACAACACTCGCCACATCGTAAGCATGCTAGAACTGGCGAGTACAAAACAGTGCAAGGATGAGCTTGTCGTCAACTACATCAATAGATGATGCTCATTAAGTTTGGATTGCAAAGATTAGCTTTCTGAAGCCTCTGCCATTAAGATATGTGTTCAAGCATGGACTGGGGGCTACATTATATCCTCCAAGGCATAAAGCCAAGAATGTTTAAAGAGTTGGCAACTCGAACCCATGACATGGAGATGAGTATTGTTAGAAATGTGCCCTAAAGCCAATCATACGATGATACTTTATGGACATTTCACATGTTAAACTAATCTAGTTTA